TCTTCCTCTCGTCCTTCCTTTTACTTGCTCCCTCTTTCAGCCCCCTTGAGATATGGAACGGGTGACTTTGTAACAGCTCAGGTTGGTTGGTTAAGAGTTGACCCCAAATAACCAAGCATATTCCAAAACAGTATTGTTCAAGTACTCATTCACTTCCTTATTTTTTATAAGCGTTATATTCCCTATTATCTTATATTGAATGTTGAGAGCCTTTATTTGTCTGAACAGATAATCCAACGCTCCACTGTGACCGCGCGAAGATCGAAATAAAGACCTATTCACTACTTAAGTATAGAATTCTCTGGTTTCTTCTATCAATAGCACGAGGGTGACCTTAAGGCACGAAAACTTCATCCTGCACCATCCTTAAAGCCTTAGATATTCCAAAGGGACATAAGGTTGCAGTTTCTAGAAGCTCCCACCTTCAATGGACCTATCGTTGACCATCAGTTGCATATTCGCAACGCAACTTTCATGAAGCGCGCCAACTGTTATACTGACTAAAACCATCTACATTCATATCTTTTAAATTATCAACCCAGCTGAGTAATTTACTACAATGGATATTGTATCATTAGTAATAATTTGATCTTGCCTGTAAACTGGCATGCCTCATGTAACAAACTGTTGTTTGAGAATAAATTATTATTATTATTAAGTCATCGCGCATCTGAACAACAAGTAGCTCAGTGTTATTCAATATGTATGTATCTGAACCTTGATGATCAATATGCATCAAAATACACTTAGAAGTATTAATCGGCAACTAACAAGTTTGAGATAATTCAAACAACTTCTCCATGTCATTTTAAAGCTCTAAGCTACCACATTTACTTTTTATCGCTCTTCATATCTTGACATCGTCAGCATGTAGCAAGACCGACGATAATAGGATATGAGGAAGGGCATTCACATAGAATGAATTTCATTGGGTCCTGTGGATTTGCTTTTATCAAGCTTACTTAGCAGATAAAAAGGATCAGCTTCTCTAGTGGTCACGTTGTCCAGTGTGCATGAGGTGATTTGTATATACTGACAGGAAGGGTGTTTCTAAGGTATATACAGCTTCAGAATACTTGAGATTTAAGATAGTCCTCCTCCACTAATGATAAAGCAATATGGTCACCCCATAATGCTTGAATACTCTGGTTTATAAAGGAGTACAAACGGTTAGGGCATTCTATGGGTTCCTTAACAATTTTTTTCTTTGTACAACCTTCTAGGTGGCCCGCTTGAATATCTGGGCTACCTGTACCTGCATCTAGATACTTCAACAAGTTGTAGATCACTGACGTAGATGATCTATGTCGAAAATGATTGCAGGCCTACTCGAGTTAGACGTGAATGGTGTGACAAACTAGCTAACATCGAAGTCACATCGCATGGTCAGCACCTTACGTGGACCACCCCATTGACATACCAAGGTACCATAGATGCTTTGAAGACTGTACAACACAGGGGACGTCGTTACAGAAATATGTTAGTTAAAGTAGATACAAGCAAAAGTGAGACCACCGCCGTATGGGCCAGTTCATGGTACACGATTAACTTACGCGGGTTGGTTGTACATGACCTTGGCAGGGAGCGATGACCTGTTCGACATTCAGTGATCCAACTGCCGGATGATTTGGCTAGGGCTCAGTGACATTCCACTGGCCCTACAAAGTTATCTGTCTTTTGTTTCTTTTAACAGGTCATTACGTCATTTAATTGCAAAACATATCCAGGTGTGTTTGTGAAAACTTTCGCTGTACAAGTTAAGAAAGAGCGCGATCAGAGACATTGTGGTTGCTGGCAATATATATCGAAAAGAATGTACATTACCCATATGTCGATTCCTGAACTGCTAGCATCTAATTAATGATTACTCAATATTTATCGTCAGGATTGATCAAAAAATAAGAAATGGAAACTTGTTGAAATACTTTATGCCGGGAATTCTATATTGAACCTGAAATATGATATTGAATAAAGCTAATAATGGTAGAATTACGGATGGTAGAGACACAAGTATTTCGATCTTCTCGATATTGAGATTTTGTCTCGTCACTACCCAGTAACCTAAATCTTTCCCACATTCTTCTCTTATGAGGAAGGGTGCGAACCTCCCTACTAAGCCATAGTGAAGAGCTTCTCGGACCCCTTGATGTAATCCAAGGCATGTGGAGTGGGGTAACTTTTAACTATAAATTTTAAAATACACTCTAATCTGTTTCAACTGGGGGACTCTGGATCCATTGTCCAATCTACTGACGACGCTGAGTGTATAATATTTTGTATATTTGCTTTCCAGACGTTGGGTCTGGATTGAGCTGACGTGTGCCCGTTTTTGACAACTGTATGGAAGTCAAAGGTTAGAACTGCTTGATCATTTTACCTAGGGGTGGCATGTAATAGTGGTTCGTGACGTCATCCTCATAATGGATCAATATAAGATCTAGTAAGGATGATTCAGAGTCCGGGTCGTACCTAGTCGCTTCTTTCACATGTTGCACTAGGGCACATGCGATATCCTCATTAACTAAATTCTGCTCAAATGAATTTTCTGACACTTTGGTTCTCAGATTTTTCTTGTCTATAGTGAGTGCATCAAAGTTTCCTAGGGTTGAGACTGCCTATCATGACCTCATTTACCTCACAAACTGAAAAGCGGTAGACCAAATCAATCAGCAGATCTTGTCCTTTGCATTTCAAGCGGAAATCAACTAATTCATACGTTCCAACATCATGAGATACACTGTCGATAATGGCAGATGGGATAATATTCCTAATAAATAGAGTTACTCCTCATTTACATTTCGGAATTCTGTCGGCTCATACTAAAGTGAAACTTTCAAAACCAAGTTCCTTACTAACTAAACGTTGCTTCAGCCAAGTTTCTACGTCTGCGATTACATCTAACTTGGTAGAGTCATTTTGTACACCTAGTTCCGATCGCTTATTGAGCAAGCTCCAGGCATTTGTGCTGCATCCATAGTGGCTTCGGCATCATTCTCTGTCGAAGCCGTTGTAGAACCCTAGTGTGATTCGATGTTGTGGAATAGTTTATATAACCTTCGCTGGTCGTCTTGGTTTCCGTGTTTAAAGATGAACTGTATCTAAGGATAGTAAGATTTACTAGCTCCAAAAACTTAAGAGGGGTTTACGAGTTAAGCGTTACTGGGACTAAAGTAGAGGCGGTCGTAAATAAGCCAGTTACTTTATAAAAGATCGTAACGAAGTTCACAGCCATGAAACCCTATATACAAATTAGTGACGTATATCCTCACAAATTTGCTACATAGTTTACAAACGTTAACAAGTATGGATTAGCTAAAACTCACTTTGGTGTTTTATTCTAACACAAATTCAAGTACTTTTTTCCGCACGTAACTTAGATCTGTAAAGTCACTTTTGGGTACGTTATTAAGCTATACATTACTGAAGTTCACTTAAGCATGACTATAGTCATATATTTCGATATAACAATTTTTTATAAGAATTTACATTAAAGTGCTTTTCTAGTGAAAATCATACGTAGCAAAACTGCACTGTTCGAAACCTTAGATTATGTTTGCTCAGTAAAAAGTGGAGTAATATTAAAATCGAGAATTCATGGCAATATAAAGAATAAGTGTCCCAGTGTTAATATGAATGGTCATCGTTTATATCAATCAGCGTCTCTGGGTTACCAATATGTACTGGTTAGGATTCACACACGAGACGAACTAGTTTCTAAATCATGCAAACCCAACTTGGTTCATGTACTTGTTTAAAGCTAATTGACTATCTGAATATCAAAACATGGTTGGAGATCAAGAGATTTAATCGTCAAGCCATCGTAAAATTACTTTAAAACCTTTTTTACGGATACGGACTCTTAATGTAAGTTTTTTTACTACCTACATGCTAATTTTAAAGTTAGATTAGATACAAGGCCAACGTTATTTTTAGACGCCCCAAATGCCTTGGTACGGCCGAGGGTGGGGTAAGTCCGCTCTCCTCGAAATGATCTCACAGCATGGGTGTTGTTTAAGAAATTGTGAAGACGAAAAGCGAATGTCCGGCGCTTTAACCAGGTTGATGAATATGGAGGACCCGAACCCTGATTCCAAACCAATGGTGCACATGGGCTCCAGGATTCTGAGGAAACAAATGGCGTACGGACCGATTGTTGGTCCCCGGCTACCATAGGATTGCATCTCCTGACGTTTCTCCACTGCCTTGTGGATCAGTCCTTCAAATCGAAGGCTCCAAGTGCGCCTCCCCCCAAGTAAACCATCTGCTTCGTTTCGGGCACCCAGGAAGTATCACAGCTCACACACAAATCAAGTGACTTGTGTGGCACATATGTATTCAGCGCCCCTTTGTATCAATATTTATGTGTTCAAATAAATAATTTTCAGACACTCATAGTTATTGAGTATGAGTTCTGTTTCTTTATAAATTTCACTTTCTAAAATAATCGGTCTTCTAGACTTACAGGGAAAAATATAGCTGTTAGTTATAACATTTGTGAATTTATACTACTCGGTGGTGTTTCATTACTTATGAATGTCAGAGTGCACATGGGCTCCAGTATCCTGCTGGAACAAATGGCGTATGAACCAATCGTTGGTCACCGGCTTCCATGGGACTGCATCTCCTTACGATGCTCCACTGCCTTGTGGATCAGACCTTCAGGTCGAAGGCCCGGGCCGTATCACAGCCCTCACACATATCGAATGAGATTTGTGTGGCGCATATATATTTGTTGCCTCCTTGCACCAATATCTATGTGTCAAAATAAAATAATGTCAGAGCGGAATTTCTGTTGATCATTCTCTTTACAATCGGGTTGTATAAATTATGATGTTCAATTGTATACGTGAAACCACACTTTAATTTTACTATTCCCACTTTGAGTTTGTGCTAACTCAAGTATTTGGATATACGCCTCTTTAGCTTAGCGTATGTTTCGTTTAATAATAATAATAATGTTTAATAATTTTGTAATTTATACAGTAGGCCTGTTCAAACCAATGAATCTTACAAAAGAAGTTGATTTCGGACCGATTCGTGGAAGGGGTCTTGTTGCTGCTCAATTTATAAATCCTGAAGACATTCTTTTTTCAGAAGACCCTCTTATATGCTGTCAGTTTTCATGGAACAAGCTCTATGGATATAAAGCTTGCGATCATTGTTTATGTCCACTCGAAACATCGGAGGAGAATGCTAGAAGACTTACTAACAATCCGTCGCTTGTATTACCTTATCCAGAGGCATCGTTTCACTGTAGCCAAACTGTTCACTGTCCTAATTGCTTAGCTAACTACTGTTCCCCAAACTGTCTCGAATCAGCTGCTCTTACATATCATTCTCCAATGTGTATGGCATCCATCGAAAAAGGCAAGGAAAATCCGTTAGAAAAATTAGACATAATCTGGCGACAGTCTCATTATCCTCCAGAAAGTGGTACTATCTTTTTACTCGTTCGTATTGCTGCTGCATGTCTATCAGCGTGTCTTATTGGTTCATCGACCTCACAGCATTTAGTTGAAGCACTAAGACAGTTTGTTTCTAGTACAAGTGCAATGATCAATGAAAATGCAAATGATATTCTCTATCATCAAATACTTGGTGATCAGTTTGCTACATATATCGAAGAGATTCATAGTGCATTTATTGAAGTACTCTTATTTTTATGTCAAAAGTTTAGTCATGCTACATCTTATGATGAATGCATTCAAACCCTGCAAAAAGCCGGGATAAACACATTATTAGAGAAAAATCATTTTACAAGTGCTTTATGTCTGATTAGTCGTAATGGTCAAGGTATTGCAACAAGTGCTTTCAGTGTCTGGGTTAATCAGGCTGGAAAATTAGTTGATACAACAAATGAACAAACATCTAATGAATTTAATTCGTTTGTCGACCGGCTATACTCGGCAATTGATGATCACGTCGGTTCTTTTTTGGACAACGAAGGGGTCGGTTTATATTACTACCAAAGTAAGCATTTTTAGATTCGTTTTTATATTTCAGCTAAACTCTTACGGCGATTTGATGTGAATAGACTGATATGTTTTGATACTCTGTTGGGAAGTCTAGAGTTATGTTCTCGATTCGGTCTAACCTCACTTTTATTTGCCCGGTGATCCCAGCAGATACAAGCAATATTTCTAAGACATCTGTGATCAAATACTAGTAACTTACGAGTATCCTCTATTCTTAATGGCCACGTTTCGCAGCCGTAAAGTAAAACAGGACGAACTGCTGAGAGGTATACTCGTTCTTTAATTGATAGACGGATATCTCTCCTTCGCCATTGGTGACGTTGACAAAAGCCAAACGAGCGTTTTGAACCGGTTCAGAAATTTCGTCAGACACCAACCCGTTACGGTTAATCAAACTTCCAAGATGAGTGAAGTTATCGACGCGTTCGACCATTTCACTTCCTATCCTTAGTTCAGGTGTTGATACAGGCCAGTTTCGAAGCAAAAATTTGATTTGGAGGAAGTAAAGCATCCCAACCATCCTGGCATTGTTGCTCAGTGCTGCCAAAAGACCGCATTTTACCAGCGTCTTCACCATGCAGAGCTGCATCATCTGCATATTATAAGGCAACAAGTGGATCTTCTGGTAAGAAATTTATTCCCGAAAATTCAAATGACGAGAACGTTGTTTCCAGCAGTAGGTCTCTGATGAAATTTCTCGGTTACGGAGTCAAATGCTGCTTTTAAGTCGAGGAAAACCATTGTCGGACGCCGATAAGCATGCATGTGCTCTACAATCTGACGAATGGCAAATATGTGGTTGATGCAGCCACGACTAGGTCTGAAGCCTGTCTGATTTTCTCGTGTTTACAGTTCACGAGTCTTTGTTAGGCGTTCGATAATTATTGAGGCTAGTATTTTAAACGCTATATTAGTCAAGCCAACCCGTCAGTGGTTACCACAGGATGATTTTGATCCTTTCTTATATATTGGGACGATAAGTGATTGTGACCAGTCAGATGGGATAACGTCTAACTCCTAGATCTTAGCAAAAATATTAGTCAACCTAATCGCTGACACTGGACTACCATCCTTAAAGACTTCTGGAGTTAATCTAATTGCTCTTCCTCGTTTCAGATTAGCTATAGCCTTTTGAACTTCAATTAGAGTCGGGGGGCCTCACTTTCACTTGACTTCTTAGTTCCAGTTTCTTTTATTAGTCTGAAAGGCTGTCTGATATTACATACAGCCGCTGCCTTTTCCATCTCTTTTGCTTTCGTTGCCCACCACTGCTCACGATCGTTCCGTAGACTTTTTGTAGCCCTAGATCTGGTTTGTTTCCCCTCTTCATCGTGTGCGGAGGCTAATTGGACGAGTTTATGAGAGTATATCAATGTAGTAGATGTCGCAGAAATCCACTAGTTTTCCGTAACCCTTTAGTTCAAATCAATAATATATATCACTGCTGTTTCTATAGCTGTTCGTATATCTTTCCAAGCAACATCTAAGTCAGCCTCTTTTTCGAATTTACCTGAGTGTGATTTCAGTTGCTGCTGGAAGCTACCTTTCGCTTTTTCGTCGCTGAGTACAACTCTAATTGGTCTTCTTGATGTGGCTTTTCTGCATCTTATTAGGCACAAGCAATTGCGTTCTCGTACTAGAGAATGATCAGAGTTTAAACATATACTCCAGAACGAGCGTCAGTTTTCTATCGAGCCTCTCCAACAATGGATGATGGCAATGTGATCTGAGTCCATCGTTAGTTTGGTGCGGGGTATCGCCATGTTAGACAATGTCTCTCCTTATGCTTAAGATTAGTGCTTTTTATAAATAGACGATTGTCTGAGCACAGTTGCAGCAGACGGTCACCATTATTTGTTTGCTGAGCCGGAATACCAAAATACCCACCTAAATGTTCGGTTTAAGCTACCTACTTGGACATTAAAGTAACCTACTACGAGTACTATATCTGAGTGTTTAGCCTTTTGAAGAAGTTCAGAAAGCTTTCTGCAAAAGTCATTTTTCACTTTATCCGGGCTGCAGTGAGTGGGAGCGTAGGCAGAAATGATGAAAAGGCAACGACTTGTGTCCCTATCCTTCTGAGTTCTTACAGAGCCGTTTAGCCAAATAACGCATAGGCGACTGTTAATGGGGATCCATTCTAAAAGTGCTTGTTATGCCCACATACTTAGTGCTATGCCCATACCAATTAGTCCACGAGAATTTGCCGTCCGGTCGCCAGATAAACTGAGGGTGTATCTCGTCGGCTCTGCTTTGGCTAGATAAGGTCAAGTTTATGACCACATCAGGGTCCTGCATGTGGTTTTAGGAGACGCAGCATGCATCTATGTTAGGAGATTCTAGGGTTTTAGCCAAGAAGTCCTGTTGGCCTATTTGACACAGGGTAAGTACGCGGAAGGTTCCAATGTGTAGTTTGGAGCGAGGTTTCAGTAGACCTTGGACAGTGTTTTGAGCACTAGAATCTTTGGCTATGGTGACACTTGAGGAGCAAGCCAAAAGAGAAAGTTTAGTGTTGAAAGTCGATATAGGGGGAATAATCGGAATTACAGAGGGAGATTGATTATGAATACAGTGGTGTTGAGTGCTGTTATAGGTATGAGTGTGGTTATCACTTCCCGGCCGCTCACATCGCGAAAGGGTTCTGGAGGTACTTGAAAAGGGAATTGGATTAGGGGTGGTCTTAGTGACCTGAGAGAGTTCATCGATAATTATTAGGTTTAAGAAAGAATTTTTAAGTGCAAGAAAAGTTGTTAACATCCTTATCGAAGTTATATATATGGTGGTAACTAGAATGTGCTTTTGTCTAAGTGTTTGATCTTATAGGCTGTAACTTAAACAAGCCGTAGCACTGGAAAGACAAAGAATTTCTATACGAGAAGAAATCATTAATCTATAAGGCAGTGCCCAAAAGACAACTGCTTGAGGCCGGTCACACAGCATTTTTGTGTCAGCTCTGTACTTGAGACCTTACCGCCGGAGACGAAGATCCATGGTATAAGGCGAGATGTGCATTTTTCCAACCCCACCCTTCCTTGTGGGAAGGCAGCATCGCTGTTATGCTGGTTGTCCGAAGGAAACATTTTACTGCCGTCACACCTCTGTACATTCAGCAGTACGACTTCGCCTTCAAACCTTGGGTTTGCTGCTTTTAGTCCTACCGAACTGTCTGGCATGGTTAAACCTTGAGGAACTTTTGTTCTAGCCAATGTAGCCCAGTTGGCTCATGACGATGGTATTTTATCCTTCCCTACCTAGCAGTATTTGAACGTAGAAGTTTGATATGTGGATTATTAAGTCCATGAATATTTAAGTATAAATACGGATCAGTGCCAGAAAGAAATCAGTGTAGTATACAACTTTCGTATATTCCCTATCACTGAATACTAATTTCTAGTTTGCTATATTCTAAGGCTTGATCGTCATTACTTTTTCTTCTTTGCCGCTTAGGTCGGATTAATCATAGTTGTTCACCGAATGCAATAATTCGTTTCAGTGGAGTCAATAGTCGACTATCTGTGGTTGCATTGACACCGATTCAAGAAGGTGAAGAAGTCACTATCTCCTATTTGGATCATTGTCTACAATCACGTGGTCGTCACACAAGACGTAAATACTTATCATCAAATTATTTGTTTTGGTGTGATTGCCCTAAGTGTGAAATGGAAAAGATTGATGGTGCATTAAGCGTGACATCCTCATCTGAAGACGATGAAGATGGTGATGACTATTGTACTCAACAAGGCAAATGTGAATAATTTCATGAAAACTCGTCATACCCTCCCACCCAACCACTCACCCTCAATACACATGAAATAAGCTATTTTGACAAATTCTTTGTATGATAATTTGTGTAAAATAAAATTCAAATCATGAATAATCCTTTTGGTAATTGTTCTTGCTCTGTTACGTTGTTATTGATTGACTGAACAATTGTTTGATAAAGATATCTGTGTCCAGCTCAAACTAAAATAGACGTGAAGTAGAATACCAGTCTCTTTACAGATTGTCAAAATTTAAGCGTTTGCACGACTGAGAAAGTCACGTAGCTAACTCTTAATTTAACTCTTTTTTGTCATTAGTTAGTCACTATTGAAAATTATCTCTGAACATGGGTAATTCTAAACAAATCAAGAATTAATATTACCATTAAGTCAGAAGTGAAATCAGTCTTAATCCACATTTACTATGCACGACAAACATTGTGAAACGTAGAAAATTATGACAAGAACCAATTCAGATTGCTTTTATTTAAAGACTGGACGAAAAACAGTTCAGTATTTATGCCTCCCTCTTAATTGTAGTATACCAAGACAAACGTTTGCATAAATTCTAGAAGGGAAGGTCAATAGAGCCATGGGCTAGTAGCTAAGGTGTTCAACCTTCAGCCATCAAGTCCCGGGTTCAAACCCCACCCCATCTGCTCCTCTTTGGCAACTAGGTTGTAAAATAAGCCTTCACATTTAAAGTGTGCCTGATACCCAAGAAATGAGAACCAAACCCTTTTTCAAAAAATGACACTAATGTATAGCTTTGGCTTAACGGCTAAAACACTCGGTGTTAGATTTATGTTTTATAACTGTATTACTCATGGGTAACGCGTTTTTACGTCACAATCCTCTTTCGTACGCTTCATCGAATAATCGTGAACTAACTGTTCTTTTATTGGTCGATACACATTTTGCACGTCCAGCCATATTGAACTAGTCACGTTTTGCTCGTCTATGCTAAGTTTATCACCCTCAATGTGATTTCTAAATTAAACTAATTATTTTTTTGTTTTAGTACCATTTATTATTTGTATGTATTCATACATAAATATTCCTATAAGTCAAGACAGTTTTCTTACGTTAACCAACCTCGGATTTGTTATTCTGGCTAATCTGACGCTCAGTTTTTAACCAACAAGGTACAGGTTTGAAATTAAGCTTTATCTGATTGAGTCTCGGTAGCCAGGTTCTATCATTAGCCCTCATATAGACAGCATGACTTTGCGTTTCAAATACATAGACTTAGACTTGGTAAGAATAATTTAGATTAATTAAGTACTATAACCGAACTATGGTCCATTTGTGATTAGAAATTTTAATTTTAATTTCCATATTGGGGATTAAGACAAGCACGTTATTATACAACCAGATTTTACAACGGTTTTGTAATATAAACATGCAAATTATTCGATTAAATAGTAGTAAACTGATACATTCGGGGATATCTGCTTGACTACAAGCCATAAAATCTTGTCGAAACTTTTGTTTTTACTTTATTCTTAAGGTTTATCTTCATGTTCATGGAACCTATATTTCTTGACTGGTAAATTTTACATATGATTCCCGTTACTTTATAGACAAATTGATCTCTTTAGTATGCAAAACTTATTGAAGACAGAAATCACAAATGACATAGATAAATCTAAATAAAGAAGTGTATGCAAATGAAATATGTTGTTTGATACTGTTTTTATATAGATGCAGTTTGATGTTGTTTGTGTTAGTACCCAGCAACAGTAAATCTAAACTGGCTTCTGGGAATCTTCTCGTCTTTACATCTGTACGTTAATCAGTGCTGCCTCTTTCTAATTGAGACTAAAACAACCTATACCAATTGATATAGGGGCTAGTAGAGATTGAATTTTCATGGTTTGCATTACTGATTGATCTTAGTTACATAACCAGTATTCACTGGACAGCTATTTCATCGTAGTATGAAACTCCTTAACAGTGCCCATTCAATACCTCGAGTGGGATCAAATCCAGGACCTTCTGGTCCTAACCTTTAGACCACTGAGCCAACATCTGGCGGTTTGTATATCTAACTTTGGTTAATTCATAATATTGCGCGATTATCTTCCATTGTTTTTGTTGGTTAACTGCCTTTCTCTCTCACGGCTTCTCACTAGAACTTCGGTAACTACCTCTCAAATATGGTCACTAGTGAATATTTGGTTACAGTTGCATTACAGGTTTGTAGCGATTGTTGAATTTTCATGGTTTTCATCACGTATCTGAAAGACTTGGGCTCGATCGTCAGTGGGATCGTGGATATACACTGTTGATGAGTCTCATACTATGACGGGACAGTTATCCAGTTTCAGTGCCTTCTTATTTTTCAGCGGTTGTATAACTTTTACATAAACTCTGATTACACAGATCGAGTCAAACACACTTAATGTAACTGATTGACAAAGTGGATAGTGTATTAGTCGACACTTCAACAAATAAGAGAATGGTATAGGTCGCTTTTAGTATTAGGAGGGGACTAGACAAATATTCCTACTTATATCAAAACCCCTTATAAGTTTATAGACCTAGCACACTCCCACATCTGGTCAGCAGGCTTTTTCCAGACATGACACAACTAATCGGTTACTGGGTCGAATTCTAGAAAGCTCTGAGCTTTCATTTCTTACTAGTTTGAACTCTCATTATTAAAGTATATTTGTAACCTTGATTGAACCGATGTTCCTCGTAGGATTCGAAATAGTGCCGTAATTGAGGATGTCACCATTAAGCTGTTCTGGGAATAACTGATCTGTCAAACTTTGATGTTGAGTCACCTAAAAGTGATAGCTGCACTTCAACTCCACCTGTAGAATTTAATCACTACCTAAAGACTACAATGCAGGATTCGGCATTATTCAGTGACAAACTGGTTTACCTAATAGTTTTCTGGCTTAGTTAAAAAATTTATTTGGCTTAGATTTCTATTTAACAAAATGATTCTATAATGAGAGTACTTTCTATTTCAATTTCTTCTTAGTGTGAACGCCTGTTCTGTTGTTTCCGTAGTTCCGACGTCGACGACAACGACAATTCACAGATCCGTTATGAATCCTATTCGGAACGTGGCGGTGGTGGGGGACCCGTAGACTTAGAGACTCGTAGACGATTACAAGTAGAAGCTATCGAACGCCGATTAGCTGAAAGTGAATCACGTGGGATTGGAGATCTTGCAAAAGTTAGAAAAAAACAAGAACGTATTGAAGAGTTAGAAAAGAAACAGTATAGTGATAAACCATCAGATAATACATTACGATGGAATGTCAGTTAGTTGGACTGTATAAAATTATATTATTCACTTCGTTTCTTTCTGAATTCTTGTAAGTAGATCATGATGTTATACTCTTCTAAAATTATTGTTGAAGTACATTCATTATTATTTATGCTGCATAATAATATTTTGTCAAATAATGGTCTTTTAATCAAGTTTCTTTTTCGAAAATTTATACATAATTTCATTATTTAATAATAAATCAACTTTTTATTAATTGGACTAACCAACTTATTGAAATTTTCACATTGACTATAATTCCTGTCACGTGATTAGGTTAATGCCAACGTTATAAAACAGATATCGACTTAATTTGTAAAAAAAAATTTGGCAATCACTAACTTTTGACTTTAGTTGTTTAAAGACATTTCACTCCCTACGAAAGCTGAAGATAATCTGTACTGTCCTAATAAGGAGGAGTCTTACTCCCGAATAAAGCATTTTTCTAGTACTTCCTAGTATTTTAGTTAAATTCCATTCTCAACAAACACTTGATTTACTTTTATTTCCAAATCATGACTTTAAGTTATAGTGGTATTCAACTCCCGTGAACCGAAATATGTATCATTCGTTCTTTTATCGAATTTGTTTTCAAACTTAGTGTTGGTGGATTTTACGTACATATCAAGAGTATTGTCAGATTCTCTAGAATAATGTACTGAAGGTTGTCTCGGCTTTTCAAACATGTAACTCTATATACCTACATAACTGGTTTTTACCTATTAATTTGAGAATTCAAGTTGATTTCGCCCATTTTGATTCATTTGACGAATTAGTATCGAAAAAAGCCTTTACACAATAAGTCTATGTGAAACTTTATTGCACGTATAAATAGATACTATGATTTTCCAACTGCGTTGCTCTCTACTTTTGTTTTACGATTTAAAAGTATTTCATATTAAGAATTATATTCAGTCCGATTTCATGGTGGAGTAAAATCGTTTTGTATCTAATAGTCATCTAATTGGTTGCTTAATTGATGCACGATTTGGTGAATTGTAGGGCTTAAACTAATTTGTGGATATCTCACTGACTTGATTGAATGAGATCTTTGCACTGAAGTGGCTTAACTGGCTGACGTTAAACTAAAAAATTTATTCATATGTAATTTAAGTATGAAAACAAGAATCCTGTTCTTATGGATAAATCTTTCCTGATTGCTACCTGACGCCATATGTCATAAGTCTATTTAGTTTTTGAGTAAGTGAAATCAAGTTTCTGTAGGTATTTATGATTAGTTTAAGACATATTAGTTCATTTCAGATAGTCAATTTAAGACTTCATAACTTTCTGAATATTCTTCGTTTAACGACTTTGCTCCTTCCTAGTTTGACCTCACCTTGTATAATTTTGCTCTTTGTAAACTACTTCTAACTTATACCCTGCAAACGAACGATCTCATTTTATGGTCAATATATTTGATTATCTGTGAAACAATCGGATTTCTAAATATATGTTTACCCAACTTTATTAAATGGTAGCCAGATCTTTTGGTACTCTCAATTATGTATTTTGACATCTTTCAATATTCCACTAGGAATTTTTATTACTTTGAAAATAAAGTACAACTCCACTCTTATTTAAAGATGAGTTTACAAGCTGAATTAAAGTTTAATTTCTTTCACTTCAAAAGTTGAAAGTAGGCATCAAATCTGATAAATTTATGTAATCAAACTTTCAGTAAATGTTAGAGGCCGATATTAGGTGGGTGGATTTAGTTGACGGGAAACCAACCGAGGATTCGTACTAATTATATTCTCTGTTATTTGTACATGTAAAAAAATTGGTATGTTAGAAAAGTGATCATGTCTATTAAACATATTTCGTACAATTAGTTGTATCTCAAAAATCTACTTACTAAAACAGTCATATACATGAGCAGAGATAGATGGTGGCTAGCAGTGGAATCTAGGACGCGCGTTTCGTCCTAATTGGGACTCGTCAACTGGATAGTAGTAGTTCTTTGACTACATTATCCTGTACTAGAAAAGTTATATTTAGATATGTAAGTCAGACTACACGTTTTAGAAATGCTCTGTCATATATTCAAAATAAGAAATTCCTTTCGTTCTGTTTAATTGTGGTTGATTTTCTTATTATGGAAATCGGTAATTATCGTGTCCGTCTATTGACTTTGCTATTTATCACACGTGAGGTCAGGATCTTTTACATAACTAATGATACAGTGACCAATGAACAGCGATCAACATCTTAACGTCTAATGGTCCACGATATCCCCCTAACGCAGTGTTCAATCGGAAGACAACGTTAACAAGCGTTTATATGCTCAGTTGTTTTGTTATCACTATAACTCAACACATATAATAATAACGAGTTGATTACTGACCACACAACAATATGAATAGAAAATTATGATTTACTCCATAAGTGAAAGAGGGTGTAGTGTCAGTTATTATGGCAAGCCCATATACCTTATTCTAATTTCCGGACATCCTATTTTATTCATTTCACTTGAGCCATATTTTGACCTTGTCAATTATTCGCTTATTAGCCTTGACTGTTTTCACATGAGCGTATATGTGTGTACATTTCATGTCCCATGATTCATCATATGTCTGTAGCTTATTTTGTCTGCCTATAAATACTGAGTAACGCTTAATTAAAATGGAGTTGGCTTCCCAGCCATCTTCCATACGTGTGATTTTTGCTTTGCTGTGCTTCATTCGCTTTATGTACGAAATATATGTATTCGCAAATCAACTCTCGTTATTCGACTTATTTAATTCCGTTATTGGATAACGCGATCTAAGTCGACGATGATAATCGAGAATAGGTGATAGCAAACATTCGTACACTATAAATTGGAGTCAGATCACCGGGCCACTTCAAGGGTTAGTTAACGGGTCCGTAATTAGTTAAGGTTGACTTAGAGGAAATAGAACATGTAATAACATTATAGCCCCCAAATGCCCTGCTATGGCCGAGAGCGGGGTGGGTTCGCCCTCCCTCTCGAAATACTCTCACACGGCCACGCGTATACAGCCTCTGACAGGGAAGTCCTACTCACTGCCTTCTCGTGGCGGGGGCGTTGTTTACAAAAATGAGAGGACGAAAAGCGAATGTCCGGCGCTTTAACCGGATTCCAAATCAATGGTGCACATGAGCACCAGTATCCTGCGGGAACAAATGGCTATGAACCAATCGTTGGTCACCGGCTACCATGGGACTGCATCTTCTTACGATGCTCCACTGCCTTGTGGGTTAGAACTAGGTCAAAGGCTCGGGGTGTGGCCCCCTAAGATAACCACCTGCTTCGGTCTGGGCGCCCGGGCAGTATCGCAGCCCAAACGCAATTAATGAACTGAATTGTTTATGATCATGGAAACTAATTCTCTTGCTTCGACGAACACTCAAATGATTCAATTATTATTGCTATTATTATTATTATTATTATTATTATTATTATTATTATTATTATTATTATTATTATTATTATTATTATTATTATTATTATTATTATTATTATTATTTACTACGTCATTATTCACCCTCTTTTATTCCTACTGTGTCTATACTTATTTCTTTCGACGTATACAGCAGCTCGTCTATGGTGGAAATTCGACTGTATCTAAACGTTCTCGAATCACTGTCCGGTTGAAAATGGTATGTTACCACCGAATATGAGTACTGAAGCAGTTTTTCTGATACCACGTGCACCATTCAAACTCGCTGCCTTCAACGTTCGCACATTTATGCAGGTCGGACAACAGATAGGGCTGGCAATGCTATGTCTTTGGAAAGTCTTAATATCGACGTTTGTTGTCTATCCGATACCCGTATTCAAGACTCTGGCGAAGTACTACAAATTCGATCTCCATCTGTCGCTTCAAAAAGCTTGTTCTACGTGCGCTTATCCGGGGACCCTGTGGCATCTTCGTCTGGTCTTGCTGGCGTTGGTGTCGCACTAAGCGCTAGAGCTGAGGCAGCACTAATCGATTGGATCCCCATTAACAATCGGTTATGTGCTGTTTGATTAGTGAGTTCCATCATAGTGAGAAGAAAACGGCGCGAGAAACGATATCTCTTCGTCATTTCCGCCTATGCCCCGACAGATTGCAGCCCGGATGCAATCAAGGATGAGTTTTACCACCAGTTATCTGTTCTTCTCCAGAAAGTGCGTTCGACAGATATCGTAGTACTAGCCGGAGACTTGAATGCTCAGGGCGTCTAGGCACAGAAGAGTCGTTTAGGTGGTCGATGGGGACTCGTTAGTCGCATGTCAGATAACGGGGACCGTCTACTGCAACTGTGCACAGACCACAACCTGTTTCTGGCTAGCACTAACTTTCGGCACAGTCATCGCCGATGTGCTACCTGGCGTCCTCCCTCTGCATCCCAAGCCTGGACTCTGATTGATCACATCGCGATCAGCTACCGCTGGCGTGGTTGTGTACAAGACTGCCGCTCCTTTTGGGGTACCTATCTCGACTCTGATCATGCCTTGGTCTACGCCAATCTTACCTTACTTTCCAGTGGCCAACGGAGTGACCGCCACCAAAGGATTGATGTCAGCAAGTTGTTTGCAACTCCTGTTGCTAGTAAGTATCGAATCGAGCTAGCTTCTAGGCTAGCTATCATTCCACCGAAAAGTATAGATGAGCATTGGTTGCAATTGCATGACCCCATGAAAATGGTGGGTACAGTCAGTTGTGGGTTCGCGAAACGTCCCGCTTATAAGCACTGGGTTTCTTCTGGTTCCTTACAACTCATTAAAGCCCGTCGGTCTACTCCGGGTGACCGTGAGTTTGACTACAAACGAAGGATGTTACGTAATGAAATTGGGCAAAGCTTGCGTAAGGACCGAGAAGCCCGGTGGTCGGAGCGTGCGAATGAGCTGGAAGCGGCAGCTGCATCTGGTGATTACCGGAAGCTCTTCCAACTCATCCGAGCCACTGGCAGCAAGAAGTCTGGTGTGAGTGAAACAATCTGCGAGGATGATGGGATGCCAATCACTAACATCCATTGACGTCTCGGACGAT